CCCCCCCAAACCATAGAGTCGCCAGGCCGGCAGCGCCGCCCTGTGGCCCGGCAGTGTAAAGGGGCGGAGCCCGCGCCATTAATAATTAAAATATTAAATATCAAATCAACACTTTAATGGTGTCCGACACCGGGAGTGGAGGGGGGGAGGGGCCATATATTAACTCTGCAATAGCCTCTGCAGGGTCGGGGAGGAGGTGGGGGGGAGGGTACACGCACCACAAAGGCTCTTCGGGGCCAGGGGGCTGTTCCTGACCCTGGGAGCTGGGAACAGGAGGACCAGGGTGGCTCTTCCCGGTCCCAGGAATACGGAACAGCAGGGATGGGAGGGCTGTTCCCCACACCGGGAACGGGGAACGGATCACGAGACACAAACGCGATGTACAGAGTCCTCCAGCCACGGCACAGGGAATCTCCTCCCGCCCCCCGAGTCCGGATTTCCACAGCTGCATTCCCCACGGAGCGCTGGGAGAGGCCGGCGACGTTCCCGCCGCGGAGCACGTTTGGCCTTTGCAAATAAATGCAAATACATTCCTGGAGCGCAGTCATTTGGCAACAGTAGGAGCAAGCAATATGCTTGGAGAACTGATTTCCACGGGCCCACTGCACACTCTTCCTTCTCGGGCAACAACAGGCCATTGGCAGCGTTCTGGAAGAGACAAAACACAGAACCTCAGGGGCAGGGTCCCCTCAGGGGCAGGGTCCCCTCAGGGGCAGGGTCCCCCTCAGGAACAGGATTCCCTCAGGGGAAAGATCCCATTTGGAACAGGATCCCCTCAGGAACAGGATTCCCTCAGGGGAAAGATCCCATTGGGAACAGGATCCCCTCAGGAACAGGATTCCTTTAGGGGAAAGAACCCATTTGGAACAGGATCTCCTCAGGAACAGGATCCCACTGGGAACAGAATCCCCTCAGACCAGCACAGCAATGCCCAGCTGAAAGTTTAAAGCCCCTGTGACACAAAGGAAAGGCAGGAAAGGAACCAATTCTCAGCCCAGGACAGGGGACAAACAATTCCTGATCTTCCCTCAGTGCTTCTGATCTTTTTCTAGCCCAACCATCTGCTTGCACACAGAAACTTGCTCTTAAAGGATCAGTTTTAGTACCAAGAATATTTTATGCTTTAGCAGGGAGGAAGAATATCCAACACATCAACAGTTGTCTCTGGAGCAGAAGCCCAAGGCAGCAGCTTTGTTTTCCATCATGTTTTCCTTTGTTTTCTATCCCCTTCCTCAGGTCCATGGCACGTCTTTGGAGGCAGCTGGGGAGCAGCTCAGCTCATCCACACATTCCATGTGTCCCCGCTGCCCGCGGGGACGGGCTGCAATAACCCTCCCAAGCGGCTGAGTTTCATTTTGCAGCTTTAATCCTGTTCCCAGAGCTCAGGAAAAGAATTCCTTACAAATGGTCCCACACAGAAGCATTGTGTGGGAAGATCTGAGGCGACTGTGAAGGATCCCTGGCACCAGGAATGGGCCTGGAACCCCAGCTGATCCACAGAAATCACACAAACCAAGTTCTGGGGCAACCCATGTGGATTTGCCCAAATCCCAAAATGAAGTAAAGAGTCTTACCTGGAAATCATTAAATTTTTTAGTGAGGAGATGATGTGTTCTGAGTCACCTGGAAGAGCCCCAAAAGAGAAGGGTCATCTCTGAGCCAGCATTCCTCAGGGAAGAGAGCAAGCACCAGGCACCCTGGTGTGTCCCAAACCCCCAAACCCTCAGGGTATGCCCAGCTCTTACCTGCAGGTGACCTTTGAGATTGGCCGGTGTTTTATAATCCCCCTTTAAAACCTGTGGGAAAGAGAAGCTGGAGTGACCCTCTGGGGCAGTGGAAATACCTCTGGGTTTCTGCTGCCAGCCATTCCCAGCCTTCCCAGGGAAACACCTTGAGTGCTCTGTCCTGCTCTGGGTCTCTCTCCAGGATGGACATTGAGGGGCTGGAGCGTATCCAGGGAAGGGAACGGGGCTGGAGCCCCAGGAGGGGCTGAGGGAGCTGGGAAAGGGGCTCAGCCTGGAGAAAAGGAGGCTCAGGGGGGACCTTCTGGCTCTGCACAACTCCCTGACAGGAGGGGACAGCCAGGGGGGTCATGCTCTGCTCTCAGGGAACAAGGGACAGGAGGAGAGGGAACAGCATCAAACTGTGCCAGGGGAGGGTCAGGTTGGACATCAGGAGGAATTTCCTCATGGAAAGGGAGATCAGGCCTTGGAACTGTCCAGGGAGGTTTGGAGTCTCCCTGGAGGTGTCCAAGGAATGTGCTCCATGTGGCACTCAGTGCTCTGGGCTGGTGACAAGGTGAGGATCAGGTATCAGTTGGACTCGATGGTTCTGGGAGGCCTTTTCCAACCTGAATGATCCTGGAATTCTGTGATTCTGTTTTCCCTGTATGAGTCTGTTTCCCCCCTGCTCTTTCCTGATCCGGTCCAGGAGCTTCCCTTGCTCTGGGGGGCTCCGTGAGCCCCTGGCCCGTCCCCCCATGGCAGTGCCACTCACTCTGTGCGTGTTGTTGACAACCAGGGGGTCGGGGTGGCCGTAGTTGGGGGGGTTGGCGTAGGGGTCGTAGCCGAGCCTGGCGAGCATGGGGGCGATGTGGGCCATGTCCTGCAGCACATCCCCCGGGATGTGCCCGATCCATTTGGATAACGCCTCCATGTTCACCGGCTTGATCACCTGGTCTGTTGACCTTTCTATCCTGGGGAAAATAAAGGAAAAAAACAACCAAAAGACACAGTGGTTGGATTTCATGCATGTGCCGGGCTCACACACAGCTCCTCCACAGAGAACCACAGGAGAACCTTACATCCCACCCCACTGCCTGCCATGGGCAGGGACACCTTCCACTATCCCAGGTTGCTCCAAGTCCGGTCCCACTTGGCCTTGGGCACTTCCTTTGAAGGGGTAGCCACAGCTTCTGTCCCTCACAGCCCTGGGGAAGCAGACTCTGGCAGGGGGTTCCACAGCCCCAGAGGCTGGGTCCTCCTGCTTAGAGTAATGGAATCAATAAAGTTGGAAAAACCCTCTAAAACCAGTTAGACCAATCATTCCCCCAGCACTGCTAAGACCACCACTGACCCATGTCCCCAGCTGCCACATCCACACAACTTTGAAATTCCTTCAAATGATGGTGACTCTACCACTGTTCTGTTCCAATGCTTAACTACCCTTTCAGGAAAGGCATTTTCCTTTTTGTCCAACCTAAACCTCCTCTGACACAACTCGAGGCTGCTTCCTCTTTTCCTACAGGAGGGATCTATCCTGCACTGGGACAGGGGTTTGCACCAGGACACCTCTGCTTATCAGAGGAAAATGATGTGATAAGATGTATGTAAGATGTGTGGGCTGTAGCACAGATACACCTGGTGATCCCCTATGAATATTCAAAACCTGATCTGAGCAGCCTGGACCAATTCACTCTGAGCAAACAGGGAAGCAGAGCCAGCTGCATTACCAGGGCATCCCAGAAAACCAGAGCAGCTGCACATGCCCCGTGGCTCTTGTGCCCTCACCACCAGGGCACCAGCAACTGATATGGAGACTTGGATAAACCCCTTACACGGCTGATTAAATTTTGCTAAGCCTGACTTAAGCTTTCACTTAGAAAAGAAACAGCATTAAAAGAGGAAAAGAAAGTGGGAGAAGGTAAACGCCCCCCCCCGAACATGGAGAGGCCAGGAGGGAGTGCTGGGTGTGCCTCCACTGAGCAGGTATTGCTTTTATTCTGCAATACCAGCCCCAGACCTGGCAAGAACTGCAGCTCATCATCATTAGCAACACAACTAATCACACCAAGGAGGCATCTGAGGACGGGTGGAGAAAGAGGCATTAAAGAGCTCACGTTTCAGAGCAAGCAGCTCCTTGCAAATTAGAGACTGAAATAATTTCTGCAGTGTCAAGAGAGATTAAACAGTCACCTGCTCCTGAAATCCTTGCTTGACAAGCTGTTCTGTGGAGTACAACATATTGGGAGCATTAAAGCCATTTCTTACTCAGGCACACAAACCCCACTGCAGTACACTGTGCTGTCCTTCCTCCCCCAGAATCAAACACAAACCCCAGCAACTCTGTTCCCAGTTTTAGCCTGCTTTGAGTGATGAAAATACCCCTTGAAAAGCTGAGGAAGGAGCCCAGACTCACTTGGAAAGGGACACCCCACCGGGCTTCCCGATGAGCTCCTCATGGTGCAGCACCGTGTCGCTCCAGGAGATGTCCAGGAACCTCATGATGTTGTGCATGGACTGCTCGGGGTGCAGCACCAGCTGCTCGTAGTAGACGGGCAGGCAGCGGGCGCGGCCGATCTCCAGGCACTGGGAATACATCACCTCGATGGCCTTGTTCCACTTGGTCAGGCAGTCCCGGTAGCTGTTCAGGTCGAAGCCGGCGATCGTCACCTTGCGCGTGATCATGGAGTGCACCGAGGCGCGCCCGTCCCGCACCATCAGCAGGAACTTGGAGTTGGGGAACAGCCGGGACAGGTACACGGAGGACTTGAGCGTGAAGGGGTCCTTGTTGCACAGGTACCTGGCGGGCTCGCCGTGCTTGGCGATCACTTCCAGGATGAAGGCCTGCATGGCCGCGTCCAGCACCTGGTCCGTCACCCCCGCCTCGTCCAGGCGCATCTTCTCGCGGCCGGACTTGGACCAGGCCTGGCGCATGGCCAGCACGCGGGGGATGATGCGGGTCTCCTCCCCGCAGCGCACCTCGGGGTGGGCGTCCAGCATGGCCCTCATCAGCGTGGTGCCGCTGCGGGGGACGCCGCCGATGAAGATCAGG